CGGTCTCTCCTGCCCGGGCTGGCTTTGAACCGTGATCCTCAGATCTCAGCCTCCTGAGTAGCTAGGATTACAGGCGTGAGCCACCAGCGCCCGGCTTCTTCGAGTATTTCTATTGGACATGAAAGTCTATAGATAGGAACCAATAGAGTCTGGCAGGATGGATCTGAATCTTGGAATATCAAGCTATTGCTACTTTGGCAATTTTGTTCTACAAACATCCAGAGACCCAGGCTTCTGATATCTTTCTTCCCATCCTAAGGAGTCAAGTCAAGCCTTCATCTGAATCCTCAGGACAATGTACCACAGCCATATCCCAGGTAGTGGGAGAGAGGAAGGATGGAAATGAAAGCCTTCTTGCCCCATAAGGACACCATATAGAACTTGGACATTTGTGCCCTCTTCATCCCCTTGTACTGAATGTGGATACAAGCTTACCGCTCACTCGAAGGGAAGCAGGAAATGTAGTCTTCTTCTTTTTTTTATGATTGTTCCTATGCCCAAACCCTCTTCTGCAACCTATAGAGTTTGCATTCTTATCAGAAAGAAGAGGGAAATAGACCTGGGGTGATAATACTCTTTGTCACAAAGATTTTTTAGTATGGAATTACCAACTGTGTAGGTATGGTATAGGGTTAAACCATAGCCTGTGAAATCAGATGGAAATTTAAGATAAAAGTTCTGATTCTATTACATAAATATCATGACCACGGACAAGTTACCTAACCCATTATAGAGTTAGATTTAACTCTACAGGATTATAATTATATCATGGGTGTTGGGAAGATTAAATCACAAAGTCATAGGGGCTCAAACTCCTGTCTTGCTGCTTCACCATGTTGCATCATGATCCAAGATGGCCTGGTGTCGGTAGTTCACACCTGTAAGCCTAGCTACTCTGGATCTGAGTAGCTGAGATATGAGGATCGTGGTTCAAAGCCAGTCCAGGCAGTAAAGTCTGTGAGACTCTTATCTCCAATAAACGATCAGAAAACCAGAAGTGACACTGTGGCTTAAGTGGTAGAGGGCTGGTCTTGAGCTGAAGAGCTGAGGGATATTGCCTAGGCCCAGAGTTCAAGCCCCACAACTGACAAAAATAAATAAATAAATGATCCAAGATGGCTTCTTGAGTTCTAGCCATCATTCCAGTCATCAGATATGAAAGTCTATAGATATGAGTCATTGCAGTCACGCAGGCTGAATCTGAGTCTTGAAATATCAAGCTGTTGGTAGTTTGGTAGTTTCTTTTCTTTTATGGGAGATAGTTGGTTATTTTACCTGACAAGTTCTCTTTGAACTAAACTAGAAGAATGATAATCTTGAGTTTCTACTGGCCAATTTGTCTCCCCAAGTGTTTTTTGGTGATTTTTTTTGGGGGGGGGGTTGGTCGTGGGACCTGAACTCTGGGCCTGGGCGCTGTCCCTCAGCTCTTCAACTCAAGGCTAGCGCTCTACCACTTGAGCCACAGTGCCACTTCTGGCTTTTTTCTTATGTGGTTCTGAGGAATCCAACCCAGGGCCTCATGCATGCAAGGCAAGCACTCTACCACTGAGCCACCTTCCCAGCCCCCTCTCCCCAAGTTTTGATGAATATCCTTCTTCCAACACAGAACTAGGCTCATCCTCTCCCCAAGGGAGACAGCATTCAAGGCTTCCCCAACAATTGCATCTACTACAGTGTTCAAGATTACTGGTCTAAGGACCTCTCTATCAATCTGGATATGATGCCATGTGCTTTCATGACCAAAAGATAAGTTATATGTCCTTGTGCACCAAAGAGAAGGATTCAAAGAAAAGGATAACTCTTTGGCAGAGGTGTGAGGGCATCTGCAAATCAGTGGTTCTGGAACCTCCAACCCTTCCTTACAAAACCCTCTCTTCTTACATGCAATCTCAATGTTCTTGAAGAAAGTGCAGGCACAAGGAGCCTAAAGTCTAAGTTCTTAATGTCTCCATTGATTTTGCTCGTCACCTGGCACCCAATTATTTTAAGCTTCCACGCTAATTATATCTTGATATTTCTTTCAAGCTTTCAAACATTCTGTTCAGCTGGGTCTCTGTCAAAAAACATAGAAATAGGAAGAACTTTGGAACAGATCTTTATGGCTTGGCAAAGCTAATTTCCTGATACTTGGTTTGCAAAGCTGTATAAAGGGATGATGCAGCCATTTATAAAGTCTGGGGAGCCCTTGTACTAAATGATGCTATTTCCTAGGTACGGTATGAAGGTTCATTAATTATTGCAAGTGCCCAGAATAGGCCTATTTGGCAAGAGCTCCAATATATCCCTAGTCTCCTTAAGAACCAAAGCTAGGGCTGGAAATATGGCTTAGTAGTAGAGTGCTTTCTAGCATGCATGAAGCCCTGGGTTCAATTCCTCAGTACTACATAAACAGAAAAGGCTAGAAATGGCACTGTGGCTCAAGTGGTAGAGTGCTAGCCTTGAGCAAAAGAAGCTTAGGGACAGTGCCCAGGCCTTGACTCTAGCCCCAGTACAAAAACAAACAAAAAAAAGAACCAAATCTAGGGAAGCCAGGCACTGGTGGCTTATACCTGTAATCCTAGCTATTCAGGAGGCAGAGATCTAAGGAGCTTGGTTCAAAGTCAGCTCAGCAATTAACTACTAGAAAATCAGAAGTGCAGTTATAGGTCAAATTGGTTGAGCACTAGATTTGAACATAAAAGCTCAGGGACAGCACTCAGGCCCTGAGTTCAAGCCCCTCAACCAAAAATTAAAATTGAAAAAAGAATCAAAGCTAGGTATGTTCCTTAGAGCCACTTGTACCATCCTGAGTTGAAGGGGTGGGTCTGGAGGACTGGCCTTCCCTAACAGCTTGCAGGATGGAGAGGAGTGTGGTTATCAGTCAGGTCATATTGCCTGGTCTTTCTCTATGCCCAAGACTGGAACTGCTTGGAAGTGATTAATGTTTGTCCAGTGTTGGGAGAACCTCTGCTGTGGCTTCCTCTTCAAACCTCATTCAGTTACCTGGCCCCTCTCTGGGTACTTTGCTTCCTTCCTTCCTTCTTTCTTTTCTTTTCTTTTTGTCAGGCCTGAACTCTGGGCCTGGGCGCTGTCCCTCAGCTCTTCAGCTCAAGGCTAGCACTCTACGTAGACACTTGAGCCACAGCACCACTTCTGGCTTTTTCTGCTGATGTGGTGCTGAGGAATCGAACCCAGGGCCTCATACATGCAAGGCAAGCGCTCTACCACTGAGCCACCTTCCAAGTCCAAGTCTCATAGTTTTGCTCAGACAGGCCTTGGACTGTAATCCTACTATTCCCCCTTCTGGGATTATAGGCATGCACCACCATACTAGGCTCCTCTACATTCTTTTCTTTTCTTTTTCCAGTTGTAGGGCCTGGGTGTTGTGTCTGAGCTCTTCAGCACAAGGCTAGCACTCTACCACTTGAGCCGCAGCACCACTCTGGCTTTTTTCTGCTTATGTGGTACTGAAAAATCGATCCCAGGGCCTCATGCATGTGAGGCAAGCACTCTACCACTGAGCCACCTTCCCAGCCCCTTCTTTTTACTCTTAGCATCTGTGGAACAACTGGAAGAATAAAGGTTTGCCTTTATGAGGGACAGCTGCCCCTTCCTGTCTGTCTCTAAAAATCTTTCTAGAGAGAGAATGGTGACCTAAGTGAATGTTTACCAAATTCTCTGTGGCAAAAGACTAGGTATTATGATTTCCTAATTCATCACAGATCACAAAATACAATAAATGTGAAGTGTTTAAAAATGAAATTCAAAGGATGGGAATGTGCTTAGTAGTAGAGTGCTTGCCTAACATGCATGAAGCCCTGGGTTCAATTCCTCAGTACCACATACACAGAAAAAGCTAGAAGTGGCACTGTGGCTCAAGTGGTAGAGCGCTAGCCTTGAGGGAAAGAAGCTCAGGGACAGTGCCCAGGCCCTGAGTTCAAGCCCCAGGACTGGCACAATTAATTAATTAGTTAATTAATACAACACAATAAAAAATAAATATAATAAAAAATGAAATTTAAACAAAAGACAGAAGCCAATCGATCCTGTGTGTGATTGAGTGTCATAGCAATATCACCTGGCTGTAAGAATGTCTAAAATTTGTTCCTTGCCTTATCCCAGGCCTGGAGAAAACACTTGTTTATGAAGCCCAGTATTTAGGACTGACTGGGTGCGAAAGTAGTACTCAGAAAGGACCTACTACTTTATTCCAACTCTATTTCTTTTGCATGTGTTTAGATTGTTTCTACCATGAGATACAAAATGAGAAAGGAAAATGAGAAAAAGGCAGAGAAGAGAAAAAGCAACCCGTCAAGCTATGCACAGAAACCCACCCCGTGGTTTCTTCCACAAAGCCGTTCGCTCCCCTCCTCGCCCTTTCACCTTGGCTCCAACAAGACCCACAAGGCCAGCCGGTCCTGCAGCGTCCCCTGCACCGCTCCCCTTGACTGCACCCAGCAGGTGCAGGTGCGGCCCTCTGCGGCCCTGGAGCTGGAGCAGTGCCACCAGCAAGCTGGCTTCCCAGGCATCAGAGAGAAGGAGGAGTCTTTGCCCTTGGCCCCAGAAGTGGACAGAGATGCTGGAGAGCATCCAGAGCCCACATACGAAGAGTGGAAGCAGGTGGGTTGTGACGGGCTAGAACATGGCTGCTACCAGAAGAGGTAGCATGTAAATTCAGGGTATGTTTTAGGCCTTCTCCCTAGTGCATTTCTCTGGGGTTAGAACACCCCAGAAGACCATTTGCTTAAAGATCATATGTCTTCATGCTTCATCAATGATAGGAAAATAGTTTAACAACTTAGCTTCAACAGGTAAGGTCAGCTATTATCAATGAGATGTTATTTTTTGTTGGTGGTGGTCGTAGGTCTTGAACTCTGGGTCTGGGCACTGATCCTCAGCTCTTCAGCTCAAGGCTAGTGCTCTACCACTTGAGCCACAGTACCACTTCCAGTTTTCTGGTGGTTTATTAGAGATAAGAGTCTCATGGACTTTCATGCCCGGGCTGACTTTGAACTGTGATCCTCAGATCTCAGCCTCCTGAGTAGCTAGGATTACAGGCGTGAGCCACCAGCACCTGGCTCCACTTCCAGGGGTGTGTGTGTATGTGTGCGTGTGTGTGTGTGTGTGTGTGTGTGTGTGTGTGTGTGTGTGTGTGGTTAATTGAAGATAAAAGTCTCATGGACTTTCCTGTTAGGACCGTCTTCAAACTGTGATCCTCAAATCTCAGCCTCCTGAGTAGCTAGGATTACAAACATGAGCCACCAGTGTCTGGCTTTTGCAGACTATGTTTAAGGTTAGGTCTTGTTTCGTACCTGGGCTAGCCTATACTACAACCCACCTACTTTAGGATCATCATTGCTGGGATAAGAGAAACAGAGAGACAGTGATATCAGGATACTGTCTCTCAGAGTTCTGAGTTACCTTCAATACCAATTTAGAATACAGTTTTTTTCTGTATGTACTGGTCTTAGGGCTTGAACTCAGGGTCTGGGCACTGTCCTTTAGCTTTTTGCTTAAGGCTAGTGCTCTACCACTAGAGTCACAGCTCTACTTTCAGCTTTTTGGAGATCAGAGTCTCACAGACATTTCTGCTTGGGCTGACTTTAAACCATGATCCTCAGATCAGCCTCGTGGCTAAGATTACAGATATGAGCCATCCAGGGTCTGGCCTAATGCATGGGAATTTATTCACTTAATCAACTATGTTCTTCTTCTCTGTCCTTTGTTCATCCCATTGCTGTTTTCCTGTGAGCCTCTCTGAGTGAATATGGGTATCTTGGTCTTTCCAGGTGGTAGACATTCTATGGAGTGACCCCATGGCTCAGGAGGGCTGCAAGGCCAACACTATTCGAGGAGGAGGCTGTTACTTTGGGCCGGATGTGACAGAACAGTTGCTGCAGAAATACAAGCTGCGATTCTTGATCCGTTCACATGAATGCAAGCCTGAAGGCTATGAATTCTGCCACAACCGCAAGGTGGGTGGAGCCTCCACACTGGGACTGTTTGTGGGTCACAGGAGGGACCCAAAAAGCATCTTCCAGACTCTGATGAGCTGAGACCTCTGTTTCTGATAACCGGTTGTGTCTCATATGTGTTACCCACTTGTTCCAAGCAACCTGGCAACCCTTCATTTTCTAAATTGTTATTATAAAAGTGATCATCTTTGACTTTTTTTTTGCCAGTCCTAGGGCTTGAATGGTTTGAACTCTGGGTCTGGGCACTGTCCTTGGTCTTCTTTTGCTCAAGGAAAGTGCTCTACCACTTGAGTCACAGTGCCACTTCTGGTTTTTTTCAGTAGTTTATTGGAGATAACAGTATCTTGGAGCTTCCTGCCTGGGCTGGCCTGGAACCATGATCCTCAGATCTCTTCCTCCTGAGTAGCTAGGATTAGAGGCGTGAGCCACTATTGCTTGACTAATCTTTGTGTGTGTGTGTGTGTGTGTGTGTGTGTGCGTGCGTGTGTGTGTGTGCGCGCGTATGCATGCCTGCCATTTCTTAGGCTTGAACTCAGGGCCTGGGCACTGTCCTTGAGCTTTTGTATTCAAGGCTAGCACTCTACTACTTGAGCCATAGCTCCGTTTCTGGCTTTTTGAGAGTTAGTTGGAGATGAAAGTCTCACAGATTTTCTTGCCTGGGCTGGCTTTGAACCATGATCCTCAGATCTCAGCCTCCTGAGTAGCTAGAACTACAAGTGTGAGCAATCAGCACTTGGCTTTTATAGACTTTTTAAAACTTCAAAATTGTTGTGGCCACTGCTTGTCAATACTCTGACAGCAAGGGATAGATGTGGCTCCATTTTATTGATAGAAATTTGAGGCCTGTATTTTTCCAGCCATAACTTTAAGTCTCAAGGATTACTGTTCCAGGTCTCAACCCCACAGGGAGCTAGATCTCCACCCTGTTCCAGGCAAGGATTCAGGATCATAGTCTCCTCAGGAGCAAAATCAATGTTCTGACTAATCTTTGGGCATCTCTAGATCCTTCAATATTTGCCTAATCTGCCTGACTGGTGCCAATCAGAAGGGATATTCCCAGGAATGCTATATGGCCAGGAGAATAACAAGTTTGCAGTCAATTAAGAAGAAATGTTTGGTTAAATGGTGATGTAAGTTTCCTTATTGTAAGGGTTCTGAGAACCTTTGGTTTTCTATATTCACTGGAAATGTCCAGGAATATAAATATTTTTTCTAGCATCTCCCAATGTATTGATAATAAGAACTTTCCAGAGAGCAGAACTCCATAAAAAGCTCTACTTTGAGGCACTCATCAAAGTGTGTGTGTGTGTGTGTGTGTGATTAATTAGAGATGAGTCTCATGGACTTTCCTGCTCAGGCTCGCTTTGAACTATGATGCTCAGATCTCAGCCTCCTGAGTAGCTAGGATCACAGGTGTGAGCCACTGGTGCCAAGCTACACATCAGCTTTAAGAACTGATCAGCCTCAGCCATCTCAACTCACAACACCCAGCCTATCCCTAAGTTAAACCCAATAAAATGATTTTTTTAAAGTGGTTTCTGAGCCAGGTGTTAGTGATGTACTTTCAAGTTAGTCTGTGAGACTCTAATCTCCAATTAATCACAAAAAAAGCATCAGCAGTGAAGCTGTGGCTCAAGTGTGACTGTGTCATGAGTCATGATTCCTTGAAAGTACTGATTACTTCAAAAAAAGAAAACAGCCAGGTGCCGTTGGCTCATGTCTGTAATTCTAGCTACTCAGGAGGCTGAGATCTGAGGATCATGGTTCAAAGCCAGCCTGGGCAAGAAATTCTGTGACACTCCTATGTCCAATAAACTACCAGAAAACTGGAAGTGGCGCTGTGGCTCAAGCGCTCGCCTTAGGCTGAAGAGCTCAGGGACAGCACGCAGGCCCAGAGTTCAAGACCTACAAACCCTCCCCCCCACACACACACAGAAAAGAAAACAGTGCAGGGCTGGGAATGTGGCTTAGTGATAGAGTACTTGCCTAGTATGCACGAAGCCTTGGGTTTGATTCCTCAATACCACATAAACAGAAAAAGCCAGAAGTAATGCTATGGCTCAAGTGGTAGAGTGCTAGTGTTGAGCACGAGAAGCTAAGGGACAGTGCCCAGGCCCTGAGTTCAAGTCCCATGACTGGCACAAAAAGGGAAACGGCAGAAAAGAAGGAAGAAGGAAAGAAGGAGAGAGAGAGAGAGAGACAGAGAGCGCCATGGATGAGTGCAGGGGACCAGCGGTGCTGACAGTGGACTGGCAATATGGGATGGAAGATGACAGAGTTTTCATTGTGCATGAATGCCATCTCTTCTGTTTTGATTTAGGTACTGACCATCTTTTCTGCCTCCAACTACTATGAAGTTGGCAGTAACAGAGGGGCCTACGTGAAACTGGGGACATCGCTGACTCCACATATCGTGCAGTATCAAGCGAACAAGGCAACCCACAAGTTAACCATGCGGCAAAGGCGAGACTTTTCAATGAATGCTTTTCAGAAAAAATGACAGTGCTTTACAGAACGTTTCGGGGAGTCAGTGTCATTGCATTGATCTAAATTCTATGTTAAAAAAATTCAAAAAATTGGACTGGGAAGGTGGCTCCGTGGTAGAGCGCTTGCCTTGCATGCCTGAGGCTCTGGGTTCGATTCCTCAGCACCACATAAGCAAAAAGAAAAAAAGCCGGAAGTGTCACTGTGGCTCAAGTGGTAGAGCGCTAGGCTTGAGCTGAAGAGCTGAGGGACAGCGCCCAGGCCCAGAGTTCAGGCCCACGACCGGACCCCCCCCCAAAAAAAAATTCAGAATTAAGCCAAGTCATAACTACCATCTAGAATAGATAGTATAAAAGCCATATTAATCTGTTGTTTTGTTACTGTAATAAAATAACTGAGGCTATGAAGAAAAGAGGTCAGAACAGTTTTGGAGGCTGAAAATTCAAGAATGGGGCAGCTGGTCTTGGTTTGGCCTCTGGGGAGGGTAGAACAGCAGATGGTATCATGGTGAGTACTGACGGGGAAGATCACATCTCAAGACAAGCCAGGTTGAGAGGGGACAGGCAGGCTTCCCTTCATACCCTTTAAGTCAAGGGTCCCCCAGGAACTACCTTAATCCCTTTGTATATCTCCAGTGACCTATAGACCTGGCGCTAGGCTCCATGTCCCACAATGAGGAGCAAGCGCCAACACATGAAGCTTCAGAGAACAAACCCCATCCTCCCCACAGTAGATCTCACCCTTCTCCACACACTTAATATTTCTACCAACCCATCATTAATGCAAACAATGTGTCTATTTCCTGCAAAAATTATCCTCTATGGATGCATTTGAATGAAGCCCATATATCAAGCCACCAAGTCTTTTGAAGGTTAGAGAATAACCTATTTTCTCTCGACTACAGAGAGTTTACATTACCCCAAAAAGCCACTGTCAAAGGCTTTCTTTCTCTATCTACAGACTTGGCACTGAAACTTCTTTCTGGGCTAGGAAGGTAGAGTGCTTACCTTGCATGCATGAGGCCCTGGGTTCAATTCCTCAGCACCACATAAACAGAAAAAGTTGGAAGTGGTGCTATGGCTCAAGTGGTAGAGCGCTAGCCTTCAGCTGAAGAGCTGAGGGACAGTGCCCAGGCCCAGAGTTCAGGTCCCATGACCAACAAAAGAAAGAAAGAAAGGAAGGAAGGAAGGAAGGAAGAAAGAGAGAAACCTCTTTCTTTTTTTTTTTTTAAATGTTTTATTTTTATTTATTTATTTATTTTTTTTGGGTCCGGTCGTGGGGCCTGAACTCTGGGCCTGAGCGCTGTCCCTCAGCCCTTCAGCTCAAGGCTAGCGCTCTACCACTTGAGCCACAGCGCCACTTCCGGCTTTTTTCTTATGTGGTGCTGAGGAATCGAACCCAGGGCCTCATGCATGCAAGGCACGCGCTCTACCACTGAGCCACCTTCCCAGCCCCGAGAGAAACCTCTTTCTGAGAAGGAAATATGGAATATTATTTAAATATCTCTTGGGATGATTCTGTTTTTTATTTTTTTTTGGTTGGCCGTGGGGCTTGAACTCGGCCTGGGCGCTGTCCCTCAGCTCTTCAGCTCAAGGCGAGCGCTCTACCACTTGAGCTACAGTGCCACTTCCGGTTTTCTGGTGGTTTATTGGAGATAGGAGTCTCATGGTCTTTCCTGCCCAGGCTGGCTTGGAACCGGGATCCTCAGATCTCAGCCTCCTGAGTAGCTAGGATTACCGGCGTGAGCCACCAGCGCCCGGCTTCTTGGGATGATTCTGAATTTTAATCCTGGTTTAGAATTTACCATGCACTAAATGTTTTAAATAATTCATATATACTGTCTCATGACCAACTTTTGAAATAGATACTATTATTGAACTCAATTTCATATATGAGATCACTAAGAAGCAATCAGCTGGCCTGTAGGGAAGGAAGGCAGTCTTGACCTCTCTTCATTATTATTTCTGCAGAGACAAGTGCCTCAGAGTATATGAGATACTGATATATTCTAGTTTAGTCTACGGAACAAGCTACTGTAATTATTCCACCTCAATTAAAAATAAAAATAGACCAAGTTAGCATAAATCAAGTGACTAGAGAGAACACATTAATATTTAGCATTTAGCATTAATATTGTTAGGATCCATCATGACCATCCCAGGGGACCACACAGATGCAGGCGGGCCAGGAGAAAGATTATTATAAGGTCTGTTAGAGGGGCCATATCTCCCCCTGGAGAGGGAGCAATATGGCATCTGCCCCCATACAGGTGGGTAGCTCTGGGGATAGTGGCCTTCTCAGGTAGGTCTGGGTGGGGAGAGAGGGAGTGGCCAGCTATCTGGCAGGAACTCTAGAGCAGGGAGGAGCTCAGGTCTGGGTGGAGCTGAGGACCAGAAGTGGGGAAAATGCCAACATTCCCAGCTTTGTTGTTTAATAATAAAGAGGGGACCGGGTGGGGAGTATGGGCAGAGGTTGCTTCTTCTGGAGCTACTTCCAGCCGTAAAGGGGTGAAGTAGTCAGGGGTCCCTGATTCATTGTTCAGCTGGGTACCATCCAAGAAGTATTTGCTTGACAGTTTGCTTGGTAAAGGTCCTCATCTTTTCCATGAAAATAGTTACGGAAAATGCAAGGCGCAATTAGTAAAAGGCAAAAAAAAATTGCCACTAACAGGCCCAAGAGAGGAATAAGCCAGGGAGGGATTGATTCCCAGAAGGGGCTATCAAAGGCCTGAGATTGCCTTTTCTGTCTTGGATTGGAGACATAGCATGGGACCTGACTCCCCATATCCTGGAGGGGGAAGTAAGACTTTTCCAGATTTAGGATCACAGGAACCTGAGAAGGTAGCAGAGAGGTTTAAAGGTACCAGAGCCAACAGGTATTATGCGCTTGTTTGGCTGCTTCCTGCTGGCTTGCGGGCATTGAGGAGTCACTGGAGTTGGGGTCTTTAGGGCCTGGGTCTGCGCTGGGCAAGGCAATGTAAATGAAGTCTCCAGTTATTGTAGTGACAGGATGGCCTTGACTTGTTCCCAGGTGGCTGTTATCCTGTTAAATGAAATGTTTGGAAAGGTCAGGCAAAAGGCTGACAAGGTGACAAGGTCAGTTAACATGAATGACATAGGAGAACACACACTGGCCACAGGCCAGAAAAGTTCCATTCGGACCATAAGCCCTGTAGGGAAGGAGGAATAACTGGACTGGGGGCAGGAAGGGGGTGTCTAGGGTTTTTGGCAACTGGGTAGAGGAGAGCATAGTGGACTGGCTAGCATTCGTAGACTGGTTTTGAAAGGGCAAGTGTAAAGTGACTGCATTTAGAATGTTATTTCCTCTTACTCCCCTCCACGGTTTTCCTTTATCAGGATGGACCTCATCCTGGGGGTCTCAGTGCCTGTTGCTGGGATAGCTCATCACAGTTAGCATTCAGAGGGGTTGGACTCAGGCCTGGGCAGTCCCTGAGAACTTCTGCTCAAGGCTAGTGCTCTAACACTTAAAGTCACAATGCCACTTCCAGCCTTTGGCTGGTTACTTAGAGGTGAGAGTGTCTCAAGCCAGGCCTCCAGCCTGGCTCTTTGCTGGTTACTTGGGAGATGGAGTTTTAGAGGGATTTTTCTGCCCAGGCTGGCTGTGAACTGTAATCAGAGGTGTCTTTGCCATAAAGGCCCCCTTTATTTCCAATTAAAGACCAAAGGCGATAGAGCTTACCTGCAACTTGTTAACAGTTGTTAACTAACAATTACACGCCTGAATTTTTTCATTACAAAATGTAAATGTTTTCAAATTGCAGCTGATTAGTGCTCTAGGTAGCACCCATTGTCTTTGGGCAGCCTGTTTAAAACAACTTAATCACCAACGGTTGGAAGGGAACACCAACAAATCGAGACAATGTTAAAATCTGAGCTTCAGTGGCTCATGCCTTTCAACCCGAATCAGTAAGCTTTAGTCATGTGTGATAGGGCCAGGCAGGGACCCAGCCTACTTGTTCTCATGGTGGAAGTAGTCAGGATGGTCCAGGCAGTCTGGGCTAGGCTGCAGTAGTGCCCCCCAGTGTATGGATTGTCACACCGCCTGCTGTTTTTCCTGCAAATTTCTACACAGATGGTTAAAGACATCTTCCAGTATTTTTGTTTACTCTGAGTGCACTGTCTTTTGCAGGCTGATCCCCATTGGTTTAGGCAGGTTGACAACTTTGTTTCGTTTCCTGGGCATTGTCCCATGCACGAGAGTAAACTGCATCCTGAGTCACTACTAGCGTAGAAAAAGTGGGGGTGTCCAGACTCCACAAGCCACAGCACCCACGCGTGCACACGTGCTCCACAATGGTTCAAAGGGAGTTGATGGAACACAGGAGAGAAAACGGAGAGCCAAAAAACATTAGCCATGATCAAGATGTACAACATTTAACTTTTAGCATAGATGGACATGAGGAATGACAAACATCACAGCCAAATTAATTACCAACTTCATTTATATTTGAACTTTTTAGAGTTCGTACTTGTAAGGTATATTAAATAGGTGGGTTTCATTAGGTAGCCGATGAAGAGAACACCACACACTATTCAGGCTAGAAAAGAAGTTTTTTTACTGAACTGCTGCCCCCACCATGCATGGTGGAAAGGCATGGCTGAAAGGGAAGGGGGTGACCCATTCCCAGAACAGGACTTATCTAGGCCAGGGACAGGAAGAGGTGTGGCCAGATGGGGGAGAGGTATGGCCACACTGGATCTGGATGTGACCTCAGGGTCTGGGACCCTCCTAAGGTCAGATGGGAGGCATGTGATCAGAGGCAGCCCAGGATGTGACCTAGCAGGAGGGGAAGGTGACTGCTTCCAGGTCTGCCAGTTACCTAGGTAACAGATACTGGGTGGAGACTTAGCCAAGAGGTAGGGAGGTGTCCCTGTGCAGACCTTACAGTACTTTCAAAGGAAACCATTTTTTTTTTGTTTGTTTTCTCAACTCCTTGCCCAATGCCCTTTGAAAACTGCCTGTTTTTTCCTTTGGCTTATAGTCAGGTGATCTCAGAATTTTCAAGGCAACTCAGATTAAACCACAACTTCCATTGACAAAGGGCTTTTAGCAAGCAGAATGCTTGGTAGTTACAAGGTTTATATTAGTTGCAATTGTGATCAAAAGCAAGAAACTTTGAAACCATGACAGTTTTACATATCTTACATATAGACAGATAGACATGTTTGTGCCCAAATCATAGGGCATGCTTCAATTTTAATATCGGCCACTGAAGTTTTCTAAAATTTTAGCGGCAAAATGATATTATTTTGCCTAATTATGATGGAACCAAAAACTTTGCCAACAAACAAAAAAACTTTTCAGGAGACAGGAGGTGTGGCATGGAGTAATGGCGCCTGGGCTGGTCGGGGAGACAGGGAGGGTCAGGAGGGAGGGTCACAGAATTACAAGTTCAGTTGGCACTGAACAGCACTGAGCTAGGCTGCTCCAGAGTTCAGGGGGCAGGGGTACAGAGAGCTTCACATCCCTGCCCTGCCTCTAGGGATTCAGGCATACCCATTACCTGAGAGGTCCATTTACTCCATCTCCAAGAGCTTTTGGAGATTTACTGCAGTGGCTCCTGTTAACTTCTCTATTATCCACCACTTGGTCAATGCTAGGGAGAACTCAAGATTTAACCAGAACAGAAAACCTTTTAGCTAAAGTTCCTCTTTAAAAACAATGTAATAATCCTTTGAGACTTTTAGTAAGGCCCAAACTTGCTGACCTTTCTTAGGGTTTAAAGTTAAATCCACCCATTTACCTTTTTGTGCTTTAAGTACAAACTTACCCGTTTTTGAACATGTTTTACATATACTTATACATATACACACATACTCTAGTGCACAAAGATCTTAAAGTATGCAAAATGAATACCAACCAAACATTTTCTTCAATTTTTAGTGGCAAGAGATCCTTTTTTGCCAATCTTACTCTTGCAGATGACCAAGATTTTTTCTTTGGGAGGGGGCAGAGGTCATTGGTCTAGGGCTTGAACTCTGGGCCTGAGCTCTGTCTCTCAGCTCTTTAACTCAAGGCTAGCACTCTACTGCTTGAGCCATGCCACCACTTCTGGCTTTCTGGTTGTTAATTGGAGATAAGAGTCTCACTCTTATCTGCCAGGACTGGCTTTGAACTGTGATCCTCAGGCCTTATCAACCTCCTGAATAGCTAGGATTACAGGCATGAGCCACCAGCTGTGCCCAGCTAGATGACCAAGATTTAAGACGAACTTTAACAAATCACTTTTGGTCCAGGGCTTGCTTGTTCTACCAAGGCCTATTAGCATATTGAATACTTTTCTGCTGAAGAATTGTAGGTGGGGGTCCCCTGGAGCTGAATTCAACCCACTCAGTACTTTTCTCTAGTCTTTGTACCAATTTAGACTAGAGCGTTTTACATATCAATTGACTGGGTACCTTCAGTTGGAAGAAGAGAGAAGTTACCAGAAGCTAACCTCTTAGCCCACCAGATAGCCTGTCTTTTGCCAATTGTAATTGTTAGTAGTTTTACAGGCTGGCAAGCAGGCAGTTTTAGGAGGGAGGGAGGGAGGAGGGGGGGGAGAGAGAGAGAGAGTTTTAATTACTGGAGTGCTCACAGAAATATCTAAGTCCTGTAAAATGGGGTTTCAGTATCTCATGAAGGGGCCATGTGGCATTCCAAATTTGGGGACAAATTTGATTGCATTAGGCTTAAGATTGGGCTCAAAGTTGAGCAGTTTTTATGAAGAATTTTAGTTGTGTCCCTCCCATGGTAGGTGACCCAGAGAGAGGAGTTAAAACCAAGCGTTTTTGTTCAGCTTGTTACAAAGGCAACACAACAGCAAATGTGATTGTCACCACAAATGCTGGGTTCCTTGGCCCCTGAGGCCCTTAAAGTGAGGTTCAGAACTTGAATCTAAGATTTTGTCCTTGGGCCCTGTGGCCCCCCCCATGAAAGCCCTGTGGCCTATATGGAAATCGGAAGGAAATCTGAACCTCCTGACTAACTACTGGTCTCTTACCCTGGAGTAAGAACCGATCAGCCACTATTGGATGGGTAGGAGATAGAGCGCTCTGTCAGGAGAAAGTTGCCTTGGTGGTCCTCTGGAGACAGCAATGTGAGGCTATGGGTTAGGCCCCGGGCAGCTGGTAGGACCCCCCCCCCCCGACCAAAATGGGAGTGAAGGGGAGGGCAAATTCACCGGGGAACCTATCCTGGGTTTGGGCACCAAATGTTAGGATCCTTCATGAGTATCCCAGGGGACCACACAGAGGCAGGCAGGCACAAGAGAAAGATTATTGTTAGGTTTATTAGAGGGGCCATATTTCCCCCTGGAGAAAGAATAATATAGTGTCTGCCCCCACCCAGGTGGGGATAGTGACATGTGCAGGTAGGTCTGGGGGTAAGAGCGGGACTGGCCAGCTATAAGGCAGGAACTCTAGGCAGGGAGGGGCTCTGGTCTGGGTGGAGCTGAGGACTGGAGGTGGAGATAATGCCAACAAATATGACACACCTGGATTATTAAATAAAGGCCAGCTTTACTCAAAAAGAAGTGTTACAGCCAGGTGCCAGTGGCTCACACCTGTAATCCGAGCCACTCAAGAGGCTGAGATCTGAGGATTGTGGTCTGAAATCAAGTTGAGCAGGAAAGCTTGTGAGACTCCAATTAACCACCAAAAAGCTGGAAGTGGTGATATGGCGCAAGTGGTAGAGTGCTAGGCTTTAGCAAAATAAAGCTCTGGGACAGTGCCTAGGTCCTGAGTTCAAGTACCAGCACCAGCACCAAAGAGAGAGGGAGAGAGAGAGAGAGGGGGGTATAACACGAAAATTTAAACTTCCCACATGAAAATCATACTAAGTAGCAGTATCATCTATAGCTTTATAAAATCAGCCATCTGAATGTCACCTAGCCTACTAAATTATAGTCTCCAGGGTGACCCCATTATCAAAACACCCAGGACTCAAGCCACTCACCATTATCAAAACACCCAGGACTTAAGTCACTGGAGGGAATCCTATAATGTGCTTTAATAAGATAATCAAAAGCATTCAGCTCTTTGAAATGTTCACTGATTGCTATAAATTCATCACCTAATTTTTCCCAGAATTCACTTTTCCAATGCTATCAGCTATCTCAATGGTTAACTTAAAAAGAAAGGAGCAGTTATGAGCAGCTGGGATGGATGGCAATGTCCATATCCTCTCACTTGCTCTTAAGAGAATCCTTACTCAGAGCTTTCCTTCAAAAACTGAGTTTTGGGGAGTGTCAGATACTTAGAGAGGAGCTGGGCTCAATGGTTCATGCCTGTAATCCCAACTAACTTGGGAAGTGGTGAGAGGAGGATCCCAGCTTGAGGCCAGCCAGGAGAAAAGGTTAACAAGACTCAAAAGCTGCTTTTTGAGGTGAGGATATAATGGTATATACCTGTGATCTCTGCGATATAAAAGCAGATGTTGGAAGACTTCAGTTGTGGACCAGGTGAAAATAGGAGACTCTTCATGAAAAATAAAGCAAAGGACGGGGGCAGAGAGTGGCTCAAGTGGCAGAGTGTTTGTCTAGGAAGCGCGAGACTCTGAGCTCAAGGAGACAGAATGCCATAACCCCCTAGACTTTCCCTCTAGACTCACATGTAAAATACTTCTTTACATCTCTTGGCCTAGGATTAGCAGGGTGGAGGTGTCAGCTCTCCGAGCTCTGCGGGAAAAGTTATTTGCTCACTCCTCAGACCTCCTTGGCGAATTCAAGAAGCATGATGCAGAAGAAACTGGTAAGAAAAAGTAAAGGTTCTTAGAGCAAGGTGCACTTCCCAGAAATCTGTCTTATGCAGGTAGCAGACAAATGTTTGCTGAATGGATAGATAGGTCTGCCGGGGAGAACAGCTCTTCCCCATTTCCTCTTCACCTGCCTGAAACCAGTAATCACCTGACTGTCAGAGTCAGCAAGGGACTCCAGACTTTGAGGTCAGACAGTGGAGGTACACAGAGACAGAAGGGAAGGAAAAAGAAAGGGGGACTCTTGTTGGGCTGGATTATATAGAGAAAGGTAGGAGGCGGGACCAGGGCAGTCCAGGATGTGATCTCAGTAGATAAGGAGTAACCTTAGAGTCTGGGGTCCCTTGCTGACTCAGTCAGGGATTGAGTCAGGTGATTACTGGTTTCAGGTGGGTGAAGAGGAAGGGGAGACCAAACAGATACCAAACCATAAACCCTTGTTTAATTACTTTTTCCAGCTTATGCAACTTAATGCCTCATGTTGGAGGCTAACCCTTTAAATTCTAAGCTTTTAACACAACATTAATTGTCCAAATAGAGATGGAGGTGGTAAAAAAAATGGAGTCAAGGGAAGGGTGACAAGACCAGAATTGGGCAGAAAATTAGCAGAGTGGAGGAATTGCAAGAATGCCTCTAACATGAGCAAAAGAGCTGTGATTTGCCTTCCCAATGAGTGTGTGCTTATCACACCCAGCTTTTGTTAGTCTAGTGAACATGTAGCCTTAGCTCAAATTCAGCCAATATCAAACTGAACTTCCACTAACTATACACCTAGTAAAAACAGCAGTAGAGCTGGGTGGACGGTGGCTCATGCCTATAATCCTAGCTACTCAGAAGGCTGAGATCTGAGGATCATGGTTCAAAGCCAACCCTGGCAGGAAAGTCTGTGAGACTTTTATCTCCAATTAACCACCAGAAAACAGGAAGTGGCACTGTGGCTCAAGTGGTAGAGTGCTAGCTTTGAACTGAAGAACTGAGGGACAGCACCCAGGCCCAGAGTGCAAGCCCCATGACTGAAAACAAGCAAACAAAAACCAGTAATAAACGGGTGCTGGTGGCTCATGCCTATAATCCTAGCAACTAGGTAGCTAAGATCTAAGGATCATGATCCAAAGTCTGTGAGACTCTTATTTCCAATCAAATACCAAAAAACAAACAAAAAAAAAACAACCAGAAGTGGAGCTATGGCTCAAGTGGTAGAGCGCAAGTCTTGAGCAAAAGAAGCTTAGGAATAGTGCCTAGACTCTGAGTTCAAGCCCCAGGACCAGCACCAAAAATAAAAATATACTTTTAAAAAATAACAGTGGGGCTGGGAAGGTGGCTCAGTGGTAGAGCACTTGCCTTGCATGCATGAAGCCCTGGGTTTGATTCCTCAGCACCACATAAGCAAAAAGAAAAAAGCCCGAAGTGGTGCTGTGGCTCAAGTGGTAGAATGCTAGCCTTGAGCTGAAAAGCTGAGAGACAGCGCCCAGGCCCAGAGTTCAGGCCCCATGACGGGACCCCCCAAAAAATAAATAAATAAAAAATAGCAGTAATGGAGCTGGGTGGCTCACACTTGTCATTCTAGCTACTCAGGATACTGAGATCTGAGGATTGTGGTTTGAAGATAGCTCAGGCCGTAAGTACTTGAGACTCTGATCTCCCATCAGTTAGCCAGCAGAAAGCTGGTATGGCTCAAGTGATAGAGCACCAGCCTTGAGAAAGAGAGAAAAAACAACCATGCAAGAATGTGAGGCCTTGAGTTCAAGTCCCAGAACCAGCACACACACACACACACAGAACTACAACCACAAAAATAACAAAATGCATGCACCTATGTGTTTACCTGTCCTGTAAAGGAAAGCAGACTCTTAGGCGACTAGTCAACAGGTGAGTTCTTTCCTGTAGGCTTCATCACCCTGAGTGACTGGGCAGCAGCGGTGGAGTCGGTGCTGCGCCTGGGCCTGCCCTGGAGGATGCTGAGACCACAACTGGTGAGCAGCTCAACAGATAACGCACTGGAGTACAAGACCTGGCTGGAGGACTTGGCCAAAGAGCAACTGAGCCGAGAGGTAATGGCAGAAGAGAACCCGTGCTGGCCTATGAAACCTTTACAGACAGCAACCACTTAGGACCCAAAGGCAGGGTGGGTGGGGGAACTAGAGCAACTACCTGTTGTATTACTTTTTTTGGTGGGGCGGTTGGAGGTGAGGGGATGGTAAGGGTAAGGGAAGGCAGCATTGGGGGTTGAACTCAGGGCTTCAATCTTACTTGCTAGGTGCTCTATTGCTTCCACTGCATCTCCAGCCCCTTTTGCTCTGGTTATTTTTAGATAAAAGCTCGCTTTTTGCCTGGACTAACGTAAAGGACCATCTTCTATTTATAGAGCTATTCATTGAGATAGAATCTCGAGGGCTGGAGGCATACATAATTCAAGCAATACAGCAGTGGCCAAGCAAGTGTGAGCCTCTGGATTCAATTCTCTTATTTAAAAGATAAATTTTTTAAAAAAGTAAAACATGAAAGCTAGATGTTGGTTGCTCATAACTGTAATCCTAGCTACTCAGAAGAAAGAGAAGCAGAGATGGTGGTTCAAAGCCAGCCTGGGCAGAAAAGTTCTTGAGACTTCATCTCCAGTTAACTAGCAAAATGCATACTAGAAGCATGGCTCAAGTAGTAGGGCAAAGCCCAGAGTTCAAGCCCCAGTAAAACACAGACATAAAATGAAAATAAATAGATAAGATGAAGATGAGATCTCGTGAACTTTGTGTCTGGGCTAGTCTCAAACTATAATCCTCCCCATCCTACCTCCTAAATAGCTAGGATTATATGTATGAGCTACTGGCGCCAAGCTATTTGTTATATTTGTTTATGTTAGACTTTGTGTTAACCGATAATGCATGTATTATCTCAGTTAATCCTCAAAACCACCTAAGAGGCAGGTATTATCTGCTCTGTTTGCCCTAGGAGGACAAGATGTTAAGTAATTTCCCTGGGGTCATAGAACTCTAAGCTGTGACTCAAACTCTGGTCTGGGCTGAAGGTGTACCTCAGTGATAGAGCATTACTTAGCAATGCGTAAGGCCCTGAGTTCAATCTCTAGCACAAACCAAACAAAAAAAAGCTCAAATCTGTCTGATTTTGTTTCCTTGATACCATGTTTCCTTCCTTACTTGAAAACCAGTCAACAAATATTTACTGACTATGTAATATGGATGGGTTCTTGCATTAGATACTTTAAAAAAAGAGCTTTATTTCAATGTAATTCACACATCATATAAGTTAACGTATACAATGCAGTGCTTTTTAGAATACATGCATCTCTCAGAATCTGTAGGGAGTTGGTTCCAGGACCCCTTAGGGCTACCAAAATTTGCATATAGACTATACATATCCTCCTGTATGCTTTCTGTGTGTCAACACTGGGGCTTGAACTCAGGACCTTGTATTCTTGCTTGTCTTTTTCATTCAAGGCTGGTGATCTAGCACTTGAGCTATATCTCTACTTCTGATTTTTGCTGGTTAATTGAAGATAAGAGTCTCTCAGATTTGTCTGCCTGTGCTTGCTTCAAACTGAGATCCTCAGATTTCATCCTCCTGAGTAGCTAGGATTACAAGCATGAGCCACCAGCACTTAGTTCCTCCCCTGTACTTTAAATTGTTCCTAGATTGCTCATGATACCTAATGCAATCTAAATAGCTGTTACAGTGTAGTGTGTAGGGAAGAAAGTGTATAAATATTCACTACACACACATTACTCTCCTCACCAATTTTTATCTTCCATGGATTGAACTCATGGATGCGGAACTCATGGATATGAAGAGCTGACTATTTGAAACTATCATATCAGTATAAGATCATTTTCATCCTGAGCTATGTCCTTTATACATGACTAAACTATTTAGTAGGCTAAAGAAGGTTGAAGAAAGAAGAGAGGATAAAATACCTTCAGGGTTTATTCCCCCCCCCCTCAAATGTGTGATTGTGATAACTAACTGGGTGTTAATTATATATTAAGCTAAGCCTAAACATAAGACATAGAAGCAAAATAAGATGCTTTTTTCCCCCTTTACAGAACATACAGTCCAGTTTGCTGGAAATACTATATCGAAACCGATCAAATCTGGAGACGATTTTTAGGATAATAGACAGCGATCATTCAGGTACTGCGCTAATGTTCTATCCCCTTTGATGGACAACAAATACTTTCCCTTGAATACGTTAGTACCTTCCCTGTTCATCCTGACTTTTCTCTCCTCAAACAGTTATGTGAACCAAGTAAATAGTATCACAGCTTATAAATGGCAGACACTAGAAAAGTACGTGCGTGATATAAAACCTATGTCGCAACTCAAGAGGTGAGTCAGGAGGATTGCTTAAGCCCAGAAGGTCAGAGTCAGCATGCTGGGACTCAAAACATACAAATACCATTTAGAAAGAGCTTCCTACAGGAACAATAATTATTAAAAGATGTGATATCCATTATAATTTCATTAAAGATTGTCGCAAAGTTCCAAGTGCCACTTGTTCATGCTTGTAACCCTAGCTACTCAGGAGGCTGAGGACTGAGGATTTCAGTTTAAGGCCAGCCTTGGCAGGAAAGTCCATGAGAGTCTTCACTCCAATTCACTGCCAAAAAGCTGGAAGTGGAGCAAGGTCTAAGGAATAGAACGCTAGCATTAAGCAAAAGAGCTCAGAGATAGCTCCCAGGCCCTGAGTTTGTGACAGTCCCCAGGACTATCACAAAAATAGAAAGACAGACAAACAGAAAGGAAGAAAGGCAGAAAGGAAGGAAGGAAGAAAGAAAGGAAGAAAGAAAGAAGGAAGGAAGGAAGGAAGAAAGGAAGGAAGGAAGGAAGGAAAGAAGTCTAAAAGAAAGAGAGAGAGAGAGAGAAAAGGCCTGTCACACTAAGTAATAAAAAATGCTAGAATAGGGCTGGGAATGTGGCTTAGTGAGTGCTTGCCTAGCATGCATGAAGCCCTGGTTCGATTCCTCAGTACCACATAAACAAATGTGGCACAGTGGCTCAAGTAGTAGAGCAAAAGAAGCTCAGGGACAGTGTCCAGGCCCTATTCAAGCCTCATGACTGGCAAAAAAAAAAATGCTAGAATAGAAAAGCTTTTGGTAAACTCACTTCCTAAAGTATTTTTTAACCGTTTTTTTTTTTGGAGTGGTATTGAGGTTTGAGCCAAAGACTTTATGCTTGCTTAGCATGAGCTCTACTGCTGAGCTAAACCTCCAGCTCTAAAACTTGCAATTTTGAAATAATTAGAGATTTGTAGGAGGTTACAAAACTTGCAGGAAGTTCTTATACACCCTCTTACTGTTGCCTTTTACACTGTGGTTCAAAGACTTTTTTTTGGGGGGGGGGGTCCGGTCATGGGGCTTGAACTCTGGGCCTGGGCGCTGTCCCTCAGCTCTTTAGCTCAAGGCTAGCGCTCTACCACTCGAGC